TATCTTTTTTTTTTATTGCATCTGTTTGATTCTTTTCACTTTTCTTTTTTATTAATCTGGCTAGCAGTCTGTCTATTTTGTTGATCTTAAAAAAAAAAAAAAAAAAAAAAACAGCTCCTGGATTTATTGATTTTTTTTGAAGGGTTTTTTGTGTCTCTGTCGCCAGTTCGGCTCTGATCTTAGTTATTTCTTGTCTTCTGCTAGGTTTTGAGTTTTTTTTATCTTGCTCCTCTAGCTCTTTCAATTTTGATCATAGGGTATCAATTTTATATCATTCTTCTTTTCTCTGGTGGGCATTTATTGCTATATATATTCCTCTAGATACTGCTTTAAAGGTGTCCCAGAGGTTCTGGTAAGTTGTATCTTCATTCTGATTGGTTTTGAAGAACATCTTTATTTGTACCTTCATTTCATTGTTTATCCAGTCAACACTCAGAAGCAAGTTCTTCAGTTTCCAAGCAATTGTGCGGATTTGAGTGTGTTTCTTGATCCTGAGTTCTAATCTGATTACGTTGTTGTCTGACAGACTGTTTGTTATGATTTCTGTTCTTTTGCATTTGCTGAGGAGTGATTTGCTCCCAATGATGTGGTCAATTTCAGAGTAAGTGCAATGTGGTGCTGAGAAAAATGTATATTCTGTGGATTTGGGGTGCAGTGTTCTGTATATGTCTATTAGGTCCACTTGGTCCAGCTCTGCATTCAAGTCCTGGGTATCCTTGTTAATTTTCTGTCTCGTTGATCTTGATCTGTCTAATATTGACGGTGGAGTGTTGAAGTCTCCCGCTGTTATTGTGTGGGAATCTAAATCTCATTTTAGGTCATTAAGAACTTGCTATATGTATCTGGGTGCTCCTGTGTTGGGGGCATATATATTTAGGATAGTTAGCTCTTCCTGTTGGATTGATCCTTTTACCATTATGTAATGCCCTTCTTTGTCTCTTTTGATCTTTGTTGGTTTGAAGTCCATTTTATCAGAGACTAGGATTACAACCCCTGCTTTTTTTTGTTCTCCATTTGCTTGGTAAATCTTCTTCCATCCCTTTATTTTGAGTCTATGTGTGTCTTTGTATGTGAGATGGGTTTCCTGAATACAGCACACCAATGCGTTCTGACTTTTTATCCAGTTTGCCAGCTTGTGTCTTTTGATTGGGGCATTTAGGCCATGCACATTCAATGTTAATATTGTTATGTGTGAATCTGATCCTGCCATTTTGCTACTGGCTGGTTTTCTTTCCCATTAGTTGATTCATTTTCTTCATTGCATTTTTGGTCTTGGCCCACTGGTTTGCTTTTGCCATGTCTGGTACTTGTTCCTTTCCGTGCTTAGTGTTTCTTTCAGGAGCTCTTTTAGGCAGGTCTGGTGGTGACAAAATCTCTCAATAATTGCTTGTCCGTAAAGGATTTTATTTCTCCTTCAGTTATGAAGCTTAGTTTGGCTGGATATGAGATTCTGGGTTGAAAGTTCTTTTCTTTAAGGATATTGATTATTGGCCCCCACTCTCTTCTGGCTTGTAGGGTTTCTGCTGAGAAATCTGCTGTGAGTCTGATTGGCTTCCCTTTGTGAGTGCGCTGACCTTTCTCTCTGGCTGCCCTTAGCATTTTTTCCTTCATTTCAACACTGGTGAATCTGACAATTATGTGCCTTGGGGTTGCTCTTCTTGAGGAATGTGTTTGTGGAGTTCTCTGTATTTCTTGAATTTCAAATTTGGACTGTCTTGCTAGGCTTGGGAAGTTCTGGATAATATCCTGGAGCATGCTTTCCCGCTTGGATTCATTCTCCCCATCATATTTAGGTACACCCATCAAGCATAGATTAGGTCTTTTCCCATAATCCCATATATCTTGGAGGCTTTGTTCATTTTTTTTTTCAATCTTTTTTCTCTTGTCTTGCCTTCTCTTTTTATTTCATTGAGTTGATCTTCAATCTCTGATATCCTTTATTCTGCTTGATCTATTCAGCTATTAAAACTTGTGTTTGCTTCACGTAGTTCTCATGCTGTGTTTTTCAACTCCATCAAGTTGTTTATGTTCTTTTCTAAGCTGGTTATTCTAGTTAGCATTTTGTCTAATCTTTTTTCAAGGTTTTTGGTTTCTTTGTATTGAGTTAGAACGTGTTCCTTTAGCTCTGAAATCTTTGTTATTATCTACTTTCTGAAGCCTGTTTCTGTCAATTTGTCACACTCCTCAGTCAAGTGGTGATCCTGTGTTGTTCAGGAGTTGTGATCCCTTTAAGGAGAAGAGGTGTTCTGGTCTTTGATGGTTTCATCTTTTTTGCGCTGTTTTTTTCCCATCTTTGTGGATTTACCTGGCTGTGGTGTCAGGGAGCTGCTTGATGAGGTCGCTGGTCTGCCTGTGGTTTCTAGGGACTCCTTCAGGTTACTAGGGAAGCTTCCTGTGTCTTTTTCATTTATACAGGGAGATTAGGCCCGCCTCTTCCGATGACCTGTAGCCGCTGCTGGGTTGTCAGGAACGCCATCCCGTTGCTACATAGGCTTCCTGTGTTTTTTGTTAAAACGTGTAGCCCAGTCCCACCCCTCTAGTGGTGGGTTTTGCCCTTCCTCCACTAGGCTGGATCATTCAGGGTTCAGCTCAGAATGTGGCACTGGCTGCACAACCCACTAGAATCAGAGCTTCAGCCCTCTGGAGTTTGTTGGGGAGGGTAGGGACCCACCCAGCCACACCAGGCCGTCTTTCCCTTTCAGCTTTCTCTCTCTGGTCATGGGGTAGAGGTCCACCCAGCTGCTCCCACTTACAGCTCCCTCTCTCTCCAGGTGGAGGGAGGGGACAGTAGCTCAGTTGCAGGCTCTTATTCAACTCCACGCTTGTAATTCCCTGCGCTTGACTAGCAAAGATCCCCTGTTCTGTGTATTGCTGAGGCTTTGGGGGAAGCACTGTATCTGGACCAGAGTGCCAGAGGGGAGCCTCTGACTCCTTGGTCAGATGCACTTTCTGGGTGAAGCAGCACACCTCCCCGCCTCAGTCTGCCCTGAGTGGTCTTTGCTCACCATGGGACCAGACCCGTTGAAATGTACCTGGTACCTCGGATGGAGCTAGGAGATCTCTGGATTTCTTTGTCTCTTTGGAGTTGTATCTAATTGGCCGTCTTGGATCTCTTTCGTCTCAGGTGCAAACTCTTAAGAAAGAGACTGTGCAGAAAGGAGATGGTGCCCCGCCCACCCTGCCTCCCACTACTCCCCCTCCAGCTTCCCCTCCCAGCCACTCAACACCCTGTCCACATGGCCCTGTGGTGACCATGCCTGTGTGCTCAGTCCAGTAGACTCTTCCTCTCGGGATCCATAGGCCCCCAAGGAGGGCACTGATGAGAAAAGGTGTGAAGACAGTTCATTACTCTAAAAGGTCCAATTCTGGAGGGTAGAAGTTAGTGATCTGGGCCCGCTTTCTGGTTGCAGAGGCTGGCTCCTCTCTGAGTCCTCACAAGGCAGAAAGAACCAGAAGCCTTTTTAAAATTATTTTTTCTTTAATTTTGTCTCTTAATTATTTAAAACTTTATATGATTCCTAAATCAAAACTATTTTTAAACAGTTATATTCAGAGTTGCAATTCCATCTGTATTTCTGCCACCTCATTCCTTCCCTCCCCATATAGGTAAACCTTTTTAAAAATGATTGTTATGGTTTATCCTTCCATTGCACAAAGAGTTGCTGATGGGACGTGTGCTGTGGGGTGTAGTATAAGCAAGATTTTCCATCTACTACGGCGATACACCCTGAATGCAGGAGCTTCAGCTCACTTGGGTATATTGGGTTGTTGTGATGGGGGTGGGGGAAGGTGGGGAGAGAGAGCCCATTTTAACTGTGTCACAGGAATGCCAAGACTCCCAGAAGCTGAGAAGAATGCAGTGAAAACCAAAACGATGGCCTGGCACAGTGGCTCACGCCTGTAATCCCAGCACTTTGGGAGGCCAAGGCGGGCGGATCACTTGAGGTCAGGGGTTGGAGACCAGCCTGGCCAACATGGTGAAACCCCAACTCTATACTAAAAATACAAAAATCAGCCAGGCATAGTAGTACACATCTGTAGTCCCAGCTACTCCAGAGGCTGAGGCAGGAGAATTGCTTGAATCCAGAAGGCAGAGTTTGCAGTGAGCCAAGATGGCACCACTGCACTCCAGTCTGGGCAACAAAAACAAAACAAAACACTGAATCTATAATTATTTTATTGATTTTGATTAATTAATTAATTATTATTATTTTGATTCTCCTGTCTCAGCCTTCCAAGTAGCTGAGATTACAGGTGTCTGCCACCATGCCTGCCTAATTTTTGTATTTTTAGTAGAGACAGGTTTCACCATGTTGGCCAGGCTGGTCTCAAACTCCTGACCTCAAATGATCCACCTGCCTTGGTCTCCCAAAGTGCTGGGATTACAGGTGTGAGCCACCATGCCCAGCTGATACCGCCCTAACTCTTAAGTTCCATCCTTACTCGGCTATTATGACAGTGTGGGAAGCAGCATGGGACAATGTAAAAAGGGGGCATGCTTCTGGCTTCTGCCACTTACTAGCTGTGTCTTTGCGCAAGTTTCTTAACCTCTCTGGGCCTCAGTTTCCTTATCTGAAAAATAAGAATGATAGTATTCCCTTCACAAGGCCAAAGTGAATACTCTCAGGCACACTACATAATGAAACTGAATAAATAATAGCTACTGGGACCAGGCGCAGTGGCTAATGCCTGTAATCCTAGCACTTTGGGAGGCCGAGGCAGGCAGATCATGAAGTCAAGAGATTGAGACCATCCTGACTAACATGGTGAAACCCCGTCTCTACTAAAAATGCAAAAATTAGCCGGGTATGGTGACATGCACCTGTAGTCCCAGCTACTCAGGAGGCTTGAACCTGGGAGGCAGAGGTTGTAGTGAGCCCAGATCACGCCACTGCACTACAGCCTGGTGACAGAGCGAGACTCTGTCCCAAAAAATAATAATAAAACCAAAATAATAATAGCTACTGTTGTTACCTGGTCATTTCCTTCTTGTTTCACAGGAAATATGTGAGAATCCCCGATTTATCATTGGTGGAGCCAACAGAACTGACATCTGTCAAGGAGATCTAGGTAGGTAGGAAAGTGCCTCAGGTCAGATCCTGCTGGATGATCAAGGGATGTTTACAAGGTGTGATCCCTTCCCAGGAGGTAAAGGGGTGGTCTATTCTCACTCTTAGTAACTTTTTGAAAGATTTTTATAACAGTTGCTTTATGGTCATTTATCTACGTGCTAGTGATTGCTTTGTTTCCTCCTACCTTCCTCTTTAGCACTCAGCCATGTGTCACGGGGGTATCTTCATCCTGTGTCTCCTCTCCAGCATCTCAGGGACACTTACATACCCCACTCAGCATGACAAGAATCCTGTTTTTCTCTGTACCCGTCTTTCTTTGAAGACAGCTCTGTGACTGTGCACCAGGCATGCCCCTTGGACATGTAGACTCTAGATACACACACAAAAGCATTGCCAAGGAAAGCACTTGTAACTGGAACCTTTGTTTAAATTACCCCAGCATAGCTCCATATTAAAGGAGTCTTTCAACAAAGATGGTATCCGCCATGTGGATGAGCACCCAATTTTCTCTTTGATTGGTTAGCTTGGCTGCTCCATGTGATCTTCCTCTTTTAACCTCTTATTCATAAAGTATTGTCTTTGGTGTGGACTATAAGCAAGCTCTGTGAAGTAAAATTAGAGAGAGCATCAACAAAAACAATTTAAATTTGAGGAAAAGGGGCACCCAAGACCAAATGAAGGGAATTTGTCTTATTTTTTTCCAGAAGGCTGAGAAGTAATTAAATGGGTGTCTGGGTCCCTGCACCAGGGGGAAGGCTTCCTGCAGGGCCCTGGAGTTAATACTCTGAGACCTTCAGACCAATAAACACTTTCCAAGGAAAGATGGGCTGCTTCCAAGGAGGGGAGGGGAGGGTGACTGTAGGCAGCGCTCATTCTCTCCTGCACACTCTCGGTTGCATTTCACTTAACCCATCCTTCTTAGAACGCAGCTCTATGACCAGCTGTACCCACTATTACACACACGCATGGTTCTAGAATCCATCTAGCACACAGAGAGAGAGTGAGAGAGAGAGAGAGAGAGTGAGAGAAAATGTCCTGATCTAATTCCATTGCCAGCAATGTCTTACTGCCCCCTATAGACTGGTTCCAGGGCAGTTGCCTACTGGTCTTCCTTCCAATTCAAATCATCCTGGTGGATGGTTCTCTGATGTTCAGTCTTCGCTGAGGTCAGAAGGGGAATTGGACTCACATTGCAAAGGCACGGGGCAGGGTGGCTTTCCTAAAGGTGTTCGGAAGAACACCCTAGTTATGATCACCTACTGCTCTGTCTCCATTGAGGCCTAAAAAGGAAGTGAGTTTATACTGCAGATGGAGGAACTGCCTGCAGCCCTGAGCAAAATGTCTAGTCACAGAGCAGTAAGTTACCTGTTGATCATATTGTCAAGGACTTCCTGTCCAAATCTCCTTCCCTGGGTTGACACCTCTGTGAGTTCAAATCTGGAAGTAGGACAGTGGGCACCAAGGGAGTCCCCATTCAGGAAAGTGGAAGAGCTGGCTGGGATTGGGGCTCTTTCTTCCCAGGAGGAGGAGGACTGTTCACGATCTATGCCCTGTGTCTGTCTGCAGGTGACTGCTGGTTTCTTGCAGCCATTGCCTGCCTGACCCTGAACCAGCGCCTTCTTTTCCGAGTCATACCCCATGATCAAAGTTTCATCGAAAACTATGCAGGGATCTTCCACTTTCAGGTGAGGTAATGAGAGTGTAATTAAGAGGGTCAGCTGCAGGCCACCCACTGCTGGTTTCCTGGCCTTGACTTCCCAAAAGCTCAAGGAGCCTTTCCACCCATCTACCTGCAGCGGCAGCAGTGGGCAGGGACCCCCTTAAGGCTTCAAGCCTGGGAGGAAGCAGTTGCTTATTTGTCTCTGGCCCCTAATCCCTCCCCCCAACCTTCTGCTATGTCCCAGAAAGGCAGGAAGACATACTGTTTACTGGCCTGTGGGTCTATTTTTGTCTCTGCAGCTGTCCGGCTACTGTTACTGCCTGCAGCCCTTCTCAAGTAGGTCCCTAAGATATTAGCACTGGGCCGGGCGCGGTGGCTCAAGCCTGTAATCCCAGCACTTTGGGAGGCCAAGGCGGGTGGATCACGAGGTCGAGAGATCGAGACCATCCTGGTCAACATGGTGAAACCCCGTCTCTACTAAAAATACAAAAAACTAGCTGGGCGTGGTGGCACGTGCCTGTAATCCCAGCTACTTAGGAGGCTGAGGCAGGAGAATTGCCTGAGCCCGGGAGGCGGAGGTTGCGGTGAGCCGAGATCGCGCCATTGTATTCCAGCCTGGGCAACAAGAGCAAAACGCCGTCTCAAAAAAAAAAAAAAAAAAGATATTAGCACTGGGACGCCACAGGACCCTTCAGGTTGTACAGGAACCCCTGGTCCACGGCTCCTGTGTACTTCTTCCTCTCTAAGACATAGCGGGACCAAGGCTATCACTCCTCTCTTCCAACCCCTGGAAGAAGAGTCTGTTTAACCTGGGGATCAGACTTCGTGTTTGCCCCAGAACTGAGTCTCATGGTTCTACAATCCATCTAGCCACTGGAAATGTTCTGGGTTCCAGTCATCTTGGCATAGAGCTGGTGCTAGAGCAGAACCAAAGTGAATTCTACCTGTGAGGGTCTCAAAGTTTCGGGATGCTGAGGAGTCAGCCTGTCTCCAGCTTTGAAGGCTCCCTCGTGTCCCAGGATGACCCAGATCATCAGTTCTTGCTCCTCTGGTCTTGCACCTCAGCACAGAAGGCCTCAGAAAAGGTCTATCTCCAGGCTAAGACTCCACCTCCTGCTGTCTTGGGAACATGGCATGGCAGCCAGGCCTTGCATTTCGTTTCTTCCCTGTGCCATCAAACTATTAGATTCCTTCTGATAGTTAAAGGGTCTCAGCTCTAAAAGGGTCTGAAATACAAATATCAGCTATCTGTTCTCTTTTCAATGAGGGAGAAAGTGCCATTGAAAAGGAGACCAAACTGCATTTGGGCCTTTTCAATTCAAACTGATTCATTCAAAAAAGAGCAACATCCAAATTTGAAATGATTGGACAATGTTCCTGCTACAGCTAGAGTAGATTCTGGGTCACTTTCTTCCTCCATTGCAGTCCTTGTTCTTCAGTTTGGTATCAAGAAATACCTAAATCAATACAGTGCCTTCACTGCACAGTTCCCAGTCCTGGCCACACTGAATCATCTGAGATACCTGAGAGTACTGACACCCAGGCCCGCCCCAGACCTGATGAGCCAGGAGAATGAAAATCTTACATGCTAAGACACTCAAGGAGCACCTACTCTATCAGGTACTGGCCTGAAGTCCGTGGAAGAGGTGAGGTGTATGTAACTCACTTCCTGCCCTCAAAAATCACACAGTCCAGTTAGAGACAGATTCATATACTCCAAACCCAGAATAGGATGAACAGGCACCCAGATGTGAGTACAGGGAATGATGCTGCTTTGGTATCCAAGAACCCCCTGAAGGCTGTGGAGGAAGGACAGTTTCCTAACAGTAATCTGAGGATGTGACTCTGTGTGTGATGCTTCTGTGCAGTTCTGGCGCTATGGAGAGTGGGTGGATGTGGTTATTGATGACTGCCTGCCGACATACAACAATCAACTGGTTTTCACGAAGTCCAACCACCGCAATGAGTTCTGGAGTGCTCTGCTGGAGAAGGCTTATGCTAAGTAAGCAATGCTTTAGAATGTGAGGTGGGGCTAGAGGTGAGAAAGTGGGTTGCAGAATCCAGCCAAGACCTCACTCACATGAAGATGCATGTGCCTCTGTACATGCATATGTGTGGGCGTGTTCAATTGTGACCCTAAGTTACAGATCAGTTCCAGGCAACAACAGCTCTAACTAAAAACATTAAATTTCAGAGTAGAAATTAAGATTTGCGTAGAAGACCTTGAGCTTTAGCTTCCCCTGGCGAGTTCTTTCATTGCGCCTCCGTGGTGGTATTGCAAGTCTGGGATCAAAGCATTGTATCTCTGGAGCTCAGATCCCAGAGTCTTGCTTGGCTCAACCTCACGTGCTTGCAGCAGATTTATAAAGCCATGTTGTCTCTCAAGTTAAAAGCTCCACCCTAGATGCTAATAATTGATTTTTTTTTTCTTTTTTTGAAACAAGGTCTCACTCTGTCACCCAGGCTGGAGTGCAGTGGTGCAATCACGGCTCACTGCAGCATTGACCTCCTGGGCTCAAGGTGATCCTCCTGCCTCAGCCTGCCAAGTAGCTGGGACTACATGCAGGCATCACCATGCCCAGCTAATTTTAGTATTTTTTGTAGAGACAGGGTTTTTCTATGTTGCTAAGGCTGGTCTCAAACTCTTGGGCTCATGTGATCCACCAGCCTCGGCCTCCCAAAGTGTTGGGATTGCAGGTGTGAGCCACCACACTGGCAGCTGCTAATGGCTTTAATGAAGCCCTTCCTCAAGGTTCAGGATGTAGTGGAAAGAGAGTTCTCAGGAAGTAGGAATAGCTGGGTTTCAATCCCAGTGCTTCCAGCTCTCTGTGGCCTTGGTTAGGTCATTTAGCCTCCTGAGCTCAGTTTCTTCATTATGAAGAAAAGGAATCATTGTTTTCATCCCCTTAGCTCACAGGGTTAATGTGGAATTGATGAAAGAACATCACAGCACCAAGAGGTAAAGTTCTGGTGGCAGTAGTACCTAGGTTTTGTTTCCTGGAACTCTGTGACCCACCCCGCCCCCCAACACACACACACATTTAGTCTCCATCCTCTCTCTAAGGCTCCATGGTTCCTATGAAGCTCTGAAAGGTGGGAACACTACAGAGGCCATGGAGGACTTCACAGGAGGGGTGACGGAGTTTTTTGAGATCAGGGATGCTCCTAGCGACATGTACAAGATCATGAAGAAAGCCATTGAGAGAGGATCCCTCATGGGCTGCTCCATTGATGTAAGTCTGGGGTGTCAGGAACAGGGCGGGGAGCTCCAAGTGTCAGGAAGCCTTTTACCCAATGAAGGGCAGCATAGAGCTTTGGTGTGGGACAGAGCGAACGTTTTGTTTGAGGAAGCAGAAGCTGGCTCTCAACTTTGAAGACTGGGAATTTCTCAAGGGAGAATAGTTCTTGGGGATTTTCAATAAAGACACTGGTCAAGGACATTCCAAGCCCTGGAATGTCAGCGGAAATTGGTCTAGAGGTCTGTGTCAGTGGAGGCCTCCCTTGCTGGTGCTCCTCAGTCTCAGCACACTCCCTATTAAGCTGGCCAAATACTTGGCTGTGGACCATTCCCCTAAGAAAGCTACCCAGTCACTGGGGTTTCACCATACCCCCCCTCCCCACTCGGGACGTGGGCTTTGTGTTGTTACCTGGGAGAAGCTAAGCCTGCAGCCCCTTTCAGTGCAAAGAAATGCTGTGAACTCAGACAGGAGCCAAGGGTAGGGAGATGGCCACCTATGGCCAGGCTTCCTTCAAGGGGCATACCTTCCCTAAGGCTGCTCAGTATAGTAATATGATAGTCTTAGTGGTTTCTATTGGGGAGAATGGGACCCAAGCTGACTTTCTGGCCCTTCCTCTCCCAACATGCCCAGTGGACAGGTGGGAATATCAGTTAGCATACAACACCATAGATGAACTTTTTCTGTATTACTTTCCTCCGGCTTTCCTCTATTCGTGCTCTATTGATCTCTCCTTTTCCCCTTTGTCTGTCCCATCTCTTCATCCTCTCTCCTTCCTTTTCCGCCCTTCTGTGTTTGTTCTCTCCCTTGCCTGGGTTGTTCCCTACTCTCTCTGTTGGGCCTCAGGATGGCACGAACATGACCTACGGAACCTCTCCTTCTGGTCTGAACATGGGGGATTTGATTGCACGGATGGTGAGGAATATGGATAACTCGCTGCTCAGGGACTCAGACCTCGACCCCAGAGACTCAGATGAAAGGCCGACCCGGGTGTGTATACCTCCAAATATCAGAATTGACCATCCCTCCAACCCACATGACCCCACCTGTTGATGTCAGACTCCCTTCAGCAGCCAGGGCCTTAGCCACAGACCCCCACCTGGTACCTCCCAAGGGTCTGGATTGAAATAATTTGCTCAGCCAAGACTCCCAAGGAAGTACAAGAATCAGGATTTTGGAGGGAGTCTCTGCTGCAGTTTCTGCATATTCCACGGTCCAGGCAGTTCTTCTCATTAACAAACTATCAGAGAGAAATAGCAAAGAGACTTATTTTAAAATATTTTTCCTCTTCTAATGTATTTGTTTATTCATTCAACACTTATTTTTGAGCTCCTACTATGCTCTAGGCACTCTCCAGCACACTAAGCAAATTTTCTCCTCCTTTTTTTTTTTTTTTTTTTTTTTTTTTTTTTTTGTGGAAAAAGCAAAGTCTACCCCTTGTAGTATTTGTGGAAAAAGCAAGGTCTACCCCTTGTAGAGTTTATATTCTAGTACTATCATAAGTTATAACTGCTCACTAGAGAGTACTGAGCCATACAGAAAAAACACAAAGGAGAATTTCACTTACATTTTCCCCTTATAAAGATAATCACTCTTAACATCTGACATATGTCCTTCCAGGATTTTTCTCTGCACACACTAAATCTATCTTTTTATTTTTTAAATGTTGTCATACTGTATGTACCTCTTTGCAGCCTGCTCTTTTTAGTTAGTTTAATCTTTTTTTTTTTTTTTTTTTTGAGACAGAATCTCACTCTGTTGCCCAGTGGTGCTATCTTGGCTCACTGCAACCTCTGCCTTAAGTTTAAAGCAGTTCTCCTGCCTCAGCCTCCTAACAAAGCTGGGATTACAGGCACATGCCACCACACCTGGCTAATTTTTGTATTTTTAGTAGAGATGGGTTTTACCATGTTGGCCGGGCTGGTCTCAAACTCCTGACCTCAAGTGAGCCACTGTGCCCAGCCTAGTTTGATATTCTTAATGTGCCAAAAGTATTCTCCTGTAACATTTTTTAGTAGCTGCACAATATTCAAATACACAGATATGTTATATTTACCCAGTACCCTATTACTGGAAAGTTGAGGAGTTTTCTTTGTTTTGTTTTGCTACTATTCTAAAATGCTATAATGAACATCCCAATAGATACATCTTTGTATACATCCATGGAGACTTCCGTAGGACAGATTCCCAGCAGTAGAATTGCTGGCTTGAATGGTATGCTTAGGTAATGACAGAGAGTCATTTCAAGCAGCTTCCCAGGTCTAGAACTAAGGATTAATGAGTTTCCTGACCCATCTCGGTCTATTCAGCATGATCTGGACCATGAGGACTGAGATCTGGGGGAGGCTGAGATGCCAAAAGCCCTGGTTCCACCCATACCCCTCACCCTGAAAAAGGCTGTAGGAATTCCACAGCCTAGCAAGGCTTCTGGAAGCTCCGTTTTTTTTTTTTTGTTTTTTTTTTTGAGACGGAGTTTTGCTCTTGTTGCCCAGGCTGGAGTGCAATGGCGCGATCTCAGCTCACCGCAACCTCCGCCTCCTGGGTTCAGGCAATTCTCCTGCCTCAGCCTCCTGAGTAGCTGGGATTACAGGCACGCACCACCATGCCCAGCTAATTTTTTGTATTTTTAGTAGAGACAGGGTTTCACCATGTTGACCAGATGGTCTCGATCTCTTGACCTCGTGATCCACCCGCCTTGGCCTCCCAAAGTGCTGGGATTACAGGCTTGAACCACCGCGCCCGGCCTGGAAGCTCCTTTTAAAGCTGTTAGTAAGCACACAGAAACCACAGAGCCTGTCTAGGGCTTGTGGGACTTTAGTGATCTTACCCTTCTGCCAAGGATCCCCCATGGCCGCAACCTGGAAATTTCTGCAAATGGAAGAGCTATCCCTTAGGCACAGTCATGTCTGAGCAGGGAACTCCTCGGGCCTTCTCAGAGTTCTCTCCCTGGGCACTGGGACTCTTGATTGCTTGAATATTAGGTTCTACATGGATGTGGAGGAGGTGAGGGGATGTAAAGAAAAATGCTAGACTTGGCCAGATGTAGTAGCTTACACCTGTAATCCCAGCACTTTGGGAGGCCAAGGCAAATGGATCACCTAAGGTCAGGAGTTTGAGACCAGCCTGGCTAACATGGTGAAACCTTGTTTCTACTAAAAATACAAAAAATTAGCCAGGCATGGTGGTGCATGCCTATAATTCCAGCTACTCGGGAGGCTGAGGCAGGAGAATTGCTTGAACTCGGGAGGTGGAGGTTGCAGTGAGTGGAGATTGTGCCATTGCACTCCAGCTTGGGCAACAAGAGCGAAACCCTGTCTCAAAAAAGAAAAAAGAAATAAGAAAAAGACTAGACTTATTTGTGTCATCTAACTCCTTTTCTCAACCTCTTTCTCTTCCAGGAATAGTCAACCCTGGATGGCCTCAGGGGAAGGGGGATCCTGAAGCCCAGGGCAACCTCCAACTCCATCCCTTCCTCCTTTGAAGGATGCTAAGGGGTCCAGAAAGGAGGGGCAGGGATGTTACCCACCCCACATCCCAGCATCCATGTTGCTCTCTGATAGTCAGGACAGAGCCTTCTCAGGGAAACCAGCTTTTCTGGAGCTGTGTCTCTTGACACTCTTAAAGGGCCAGTGAAGGTCTGATCATGGTCATGAGGCACACTTTCAGAGAGTAGAGTGGTCTGTGTCCTCACAGAACCTGGGAAGTGAACTACTATCAACTTTGCCTCCAAGCAGCAGAACTTCCGTTCCCCCGCCCCTAATGGTCTCTCTGGTTATTGCTTTACAGACCATCGTTCCATTTCAGTATGAGACAAGAATGGCCTGTGGGCTGGTCAGAGGTCATGCCTACTCTGTCACTGGCCTGGAGGAGGTGAGCCTGTAGTGGAGCTGGGTGGGGCACAGGTACCCTCCTGGCTTAACCTCCTGAAGTCAGGACTTAGTTGTTGGGGCCTCTTCCCTGTCTGCAGAGCTTGCCTCCAATCAGGACATTCAGTTCAAGGTCCAAGCCACACATCTGGGAGCAGAGGGGCCTGTGACACTGGTAGTGGGGTCAGCAGTTTATCTTTGCTTTTCATGCTAAAGATGGCAATTTCCCAACATTCCCAAGGAACCAATTGAAATGTCACTTCACTATGCTTTTACAAAGCTAGTTTCATGTGTTCTTGAGATTCCTGTTCTCTCATGTTCAGATAGCTACAGTTGTCTCTGGGTAGCCACAGGGATTGGTTTCCAGAACCCCCAACAGTAACAAAATCTGCAGATGCTCAAGTTCCTTCTGGAAAATGTAGTATTTGCATATAACCTACATACATCCTCCCGTATACTTTAAGTCATCCCTGGATTACTTATGATACCTAACACAATGGAAATGCTATGTAAATAGTTGTTAAACAGCATTGGGGTTTTTTGGTATTATTTTATTATTTTATTTTTCAAATATTTTTGATCCGTGATTGGTTGTACGCTGAAGCCATGCATACGAGAGACTGACTGTTTTGCTCCTTCTGGGACTTCTGGGCTTTCCTGAGTCACGTCAGAGATGGGAACATTGTCAGGCCCGTTGCACACAGTTCGGCAGGTTGTGCCCTGTACAAAGGGATGGGCCGAGAGGGGCAGTTGTCTGCATTAGCAGACTGGAGGAAGTCTGCTTGTTTGTAGTTCCTTAGTCAGCAGGGGTCTTTTTTCTAATTTATACAAAGATACCTAATATGCTAGCGACCGTACTGTATATGCTCCTCCTTCCCCACCCCCCTGCAAACTCATAATGGCTAGGATGTTCTCTGAGAAAATTGCCTCTTAGAGAGGAGATGGCCAAGCTCTAATTCAGGCAGACTCAGGAGAAAAGGTTATGACCTCACCCCCTGCCATTCCCCAGCACACTTCTGATTAGTCTCTTTGGCCAGAACCAGGCAGAACATCCTCCCATAAGGGATTCGGCCCCCAGCCCCATCCCATCCCTCAAGGCAAGACAGAAGATTCCCTTTCCAGACAGGCTGCAGGGCATGAGAGCACTTTCTCTGTGCTTAAGGTCCTGTTCAAAGGTGAGAAAGTGAAGCTGGTGCGGCTGCGGAACCCCTGGGGCCAGGTGGAGTGGAACGGCGCTTGGAGTGATGGGTAGGTGAGGGGACCCCACGGAATGGGCAGTAGCAGGGAACAGGGCCCAGGACAAGGCTATGTTGGGAAGTGAGCCATGAGAGTATTGAAGATGCTTGGTATAAAATCGCCCTCAAAACCAATGATCCGCAGAGAAGAGGGGTACAGGTGTTGGCTTCAGGGAAGGGCCGGGAGTGGAAGTGGGGTCTGGGAACCCAGAGAGGTTGCTGACAGCCATTGGCTGGAAAGGAAGGATTCCAGAAAGCATGGAGAAGGTCCCCACAGGAAAAGAGTATGAATGCAGGGGTCTGGGCTGGACAAGTGACTTCCCCTCTAGCAGTCTTTGCTGCCTTACCTGTGAAATGGGAATGGTATTATTAGCACTTAACCTTGTGGGCTCATATGCAGAGTAAATGGGACTGTTTTTGGAAAGTTCTGAGTCATTACCAAGATTTCCTTACCCGTGCTGACCCCAAATAAAGGTGCAAGGGCTGTGTGAAAGAATTTTACTGCTTGTCACTGAAAGGAATAGACTGTGGGCAACAAAAATAATAAACATGGGAAGTTATTATGAAGGCTCCAGCACATTTGCAAAACCTCCATGGTCCCACTGGTTCCTAATTACCTCTACTGAATGAGAGGCAGTTCATTACTGAATGAGCCCATGAGCTCCTGTTTTATTTCCAGAGGGTATAGTAGGACTCAGTAGTGGAGAATGACTGCAACCAGGCAGCCTGGGCCCTTCCGCTTCTGTGCTTATGTACCGCTGCATACTTCTTAGCTCAGCATGTAATTACTGGTTTGTTCAGTCGTTCATTTAGCGAATGTCTCTTGGGCGCCTACTACATAGGAGGCACACGTCAAGGCACTGGGGATATTCTGTGAACCCACAGCCTCCCTCGATACACTGTGAAAAGGGTCTGATCCTCATGCCCTGACTGCCTCTTACAGTCATTCACTTATGCATGCTACAAATGCTTATTTCCTCAGTGCTGATTTCTGCCAGGCCCTAGACTACTGACAGGGAATGTAGAAATGAACAGACACATTGGGCCCTGCACCTGTGGGTTTAAGGCCCAGGGAAGGACAGGCAAGCACACACTAATAATTGAGATCAATGTCACAGTAAGGATCACAAAGAGAGGGCCTCCGCACCTAGTTTGGGTGGGAGAGGAAGCTTAGAGAAAGGTTGCCTGGAGGGAGTGACAATGGAACTGTGCTCTCGGCTCTAGGAAGGCCCTTGGTGACTCCTCAGTTGTCTACTCTGCTGGCCCAAGTCACCCGCAGGGAACCTTGCTGTGTTCTCCAGCCTCAGAGCTTGGTGGGCAACCTTGTCCTGCTTACCATGACGCTTCCCTCACAGGGGCTGCTGACAAGTGGACCCAACCCTGTTCACTCAAGGAGCTTTCCTCTGATGTGTCTCTCCTCCTGGTCTCGGGAATGTCCGTGTTCCCTGTGGTGCTCTCTGACTCCAAGCACTTCCTCAGCCCCTTACCTTTCTAGGGACCATCCATTTAGTTGAATTCTCCTCAGTGAGCCTGAAACACAGATGCACATTATTGCCTCTGTCATGAGGACCGAGTGTGTGTGAAAACTGCCCAGTGTTTAGAAACACAATGCTCGGCTGTTTTCTGAAACAGGGAAGATGTTTACAGGCTTGGCTTTTTTTCTTAGTAACTCAGTTTCTTATTATATGACAGGCACTATGCTAACAGCTTTGCGTGCATTATTTCATCTGCCCATCCCAGACCTGTGAACAGGTGACATAATCATTTCCCTTTTGCAGTTGAGGAAGCAGAGTCTGACAAAGTTAAGTGACCTGCCCAAGGTTGCATAGCTAGCACTATTATTAAACAGATACCCCAGTTTGTCTATGTCCAGAAACAAATTTTTTTTTTTTTTTTTTTTTTTTTGAGATGGAGTCTTGCTCTGCCACCCAGGCTGGAGTGCAGTGGCATGTTCTCAGCTCACTGCAATCTTTGCCTCCCAGGTTATGGTGATTCTTCTGCCTCAGCCTCCCAAGTAGCTGGGACTACATAAGCATGCAACCACGCCCAGCTAATTTTCATATTTTTAATACAGATAGGGTTTCACTGTATTGGGCAGGCTAGTCTCAAACTCCTAACCTCATGATCAGCTCACCTCAGCCTCCCAAAGTGCTGGGATTACAGGCATGAGCCATTGCACCTGGCCCAGAACCCAATTCTTAACCTTTAAAGTGTGATAAGAAGGGTCAAGCCCTCACCAGCCCATTTAAGGAATTTATATTCAGTCTTGAGGATGTAAGAAGTCACTGCTGTTGGGTTTCATGCTGAGGGTAACAGATCAGATCAGCATTTTGGTGGTTCACAGTGGCTGCAACTCTTCGTATTTCTCTGATACCTCCTGTCCCAACCTACATCAGGCCTTCCCTTCTTCCCCCTTCCTTATTTCCTCCATTTTCCCCCCAGTTGGAAGGACTGGAGCTTTGTGGACAAAGATGAGAAGACCCATCTGCAGCACCAGGTCACTGAGGATGGAGAGTTCTGGTGAGTCCGGAACCCAGGAAGACCCAGAAGGGTAAGGGATGGGGAAGAGAAGGGAAATCTCAGACCTCAATCCCCAGATGAGGTTGTCAGATGCCAGCCTTTGGGAGATCTGGGCCCTGTTCTCCTCCCCTAGCCCAAGGCGCAGCAAGGATGAGGTTCTGAGAGGAGCCCTCCAGGCCACAGGGACAACTGAGCCCAGGACCAGGCCAACATGACTTGTCTCTTGCCTCCCCTCTAGTCCTCTGCCACACACTCTATTCCAGCCACATGCACCATGGCTTTTGCACAATTTTTTCTGAGCCTAGGAAGCTCAACTTGCCCTGATCTCCCAGCACCAACCTCACCCTCACTTAGGTTGTTTCTACTCAGGCTTCAAGTCTCAGCTTGAGGAGAATCTTCAGGTCTCAGCTGAAAGAGACCCCCCCTGTGTTAACCCAGGACTGAGATTAACTTATAATGCTCATCACCCTTAACATTGTTTGCTTAATCGTCTATTGTTTCCCAAACAATATCTCTTTTCCATGTGCCTAGCAGAGCTCCTGGTGCACAGTGGTGGGACACACAGTAACCTTTTGAAGAACTGAATTTCTTTTGAGCCTTCCCATCAAGATACATGAGTTTGAGTCATTTTTTAAAGATGTCTGCACTTTAATGTTCATAAGTTATACTATAGTTTTTTAAAAAGGAAAAATATGTAAATGAAGAATGGATAGAAAAAAATGAAAATGGGTTTTATTGGTTTATTTTTTAGAGCCATGTTATTTTTGTTCCAATTACAATAGATAAGAGGTAGAGAAAGCTTTTAGGTGTATTTGTTAAGAGAGTTGAGTTAGATTTGTAAATCACATTCCTCATACAATGTGAAAGCAAAGCCTCGTGAAAGTTTGAGTCTTTTAGTTTCCTTGTCTTCAGATTCATGTTTTTCAGCTTGAGACGTATATGTAGAATGTAAGTTTGGACCTAAACCAACAGGTAAATTTGTAGCAGAGCTTTTCTCATTGCAAGCAAATGTGAGTTTTCCAAATCAATGATGATAATAAAGCTTAAGTGGTAGAGACTCTCAGGGCAGTCACTTAGAAAATAAGATCCAAATTGGGAGTGGTGACACATGCCATAGTCACAGCTGCTTGGGAGGCTGAGGTGGGAGGATCACTTGAGCCCACCCCAGGAGTTCAAGTGTAGCCTGAGAAACATCATGAGACCCCCATATCTAAAAAATAAAAATAAAGAAAATGAGAACCGCCGGGCGCGGTGGCTCAAGCCTGTAATCCCAGCACTTTGGGAGGCCGAGGCGGGTGGATCACGAGGTCGAGAGATCAAGACCATCCTGGTCAACATGGTGAAACCCCGTCTCTACTAAAAGTGCAAAAAATTAGCTGGGCATGGTGGCACGTGCCTGTAATCCCAGCTACTCAGGAGGCTGAGGCAGGAGAATTGCCTGAGCCCAGGAGGCGGAGGTTGCGGTGAGCCGAGATCGCGCCATTGCACTCCAGCCTGGGTAACAAGGGTGAAACTCCGTCTGAAAAAAAAAAAAAAAAAAAAAAAGAAAATGAGAACCATGGTTTGTGGCCAATATGTTAGAAAAAAAACACTGTTCTCTTTTTCTTAGTTCCTTTTGGGAAAATAAGGATTTTTCTGTCAACAGAAACTGACACTGTGGCAGACATTAAGTACGTTGTCTTAAACTTTGGGAGGCCGTGGCGGCCGGATCACTTGAGGTCAGGAGTTTGAGACCCGGGAAGCACAGGTTGCAATAAGCCCAGATTGTGCCACTGCACTCCAGCCTTGACAACAGAGCGATACTCTGTCCTAGGGGAAAAAAAAAAATATTGTCTTGGTATAATGTCAAGGAAAAGGTTTTTTGTGTTTTTATTACTTTTAAAATTTATTTAAAAATAAAATATAGACAGGCCTCACATATTGCATAGGGTGATCTCAAACTCCTAGGCTCAAGCATTCCTCCCACCTTGACCTCCCAAAATGCAGGTATGTGGGCCTGGGCAACAACTGGGACTCCCAACTCTACAAAAAATTTAAAAATTAGCCAGGTGTGGTGGCGTGTGCCTTTAGTTGCAGCTACTTGGGAGGCTGAATTAAGGGGTCACTTGAGCCCAGGAGGTTGAGGCCACAGTAAACTATGACTGCACCACTGCAGTCCATCCTGGGCAACAGAGTAAGACCTTGTCTTTAAAAAAAGGTGCTGGGATTACAGGTGTAAGCCACCACAACTGGCCTTCTATTTTTTATGGATATATCATAGCTATATATATTTTGGGGGTACATATGGTATTTTGATACACATATACAATGTGTAATGATTAAATCAGGGTAATTGGGACACCATCATCTCAAATATGTATCTTTTCTTTGTGTTGGAAACATTACAATTCTTCTTCTCTAGCTATTTTGAAAGGTACTATAGACTGGGCATAGTAGCTCATGCCTGTAATCTCAGCACTTTGGGAGGCTGAAGTAGGTGGACCACTTAAGGTCAGAATTCGAGACCAGCCTGGTCAACATGGTGAAACCCTGTCTCTACAAAAATATAAAAATTAGGTGCAGTGGCATGCACCTGTAATCCCAGATACTCAGGTGGCTGAGGCTGAGAATCCCTAGACCTCAGGAGGCAGAGGTTGCAGTGAGCTAAGATCATGCCACTGCACTCCAGCCTGGGCAAGAGTGAGAGTCCATCTCAAAAGAAAAAAATATATATGTATATACACGCACTATACTATAAAATCTTGTTTAGCTATGTTTGCCTTACTGTGCTATTGAGCACTAGAGCTTTTTTCTTTTTTTTGAAATGGAGTCTCACTCTGTCACCTAGGCTGGAGTGCAATGGCGCAATGTCGGCTCACGGCAATCTCTGCCTCCTGGGTTCAAGCAATTCTCCTGCCTCAGCCTCCTGAGTAACTGTGACTACAGGTGCCCGCCATGACACCCAGCTAATTTTTGTATTTTTAGTAGAGAAGGGGTTTCACCATGTTGGCCAGGCTGGTCTTGAACTCCTAGCTTCAGGTGATCTGCCTGCCTTGGCCTCCCAAAGTGTTGGGGTTACAGGTGTGAGCCACAGCGCCCAGCTGAGCACTAGAGCTTATTTCTTCTAACTGTATTTTTGTACCCATTAGCCACCCTCTTTTCATCCTCCCCCTCCTTCCCTTCCCAGCCTCTGGTAACCACCATCTCCCTACTTCCATGACATCCACTTTTTTTTAGTGCTCTCATATGAGTGAGAACATGTCTTTGTGGGACTGGCTTATTTTTGAATCATTGTTAGAAAAGATGATGGTTTGGAGTAGATAAATCAGAAGTGCCAGTGTTTGCCCTAAAAAGGAAAGACAGGCTCCTCTAGAACCTGGGACCAAGTTCCTGTGAATTATTTTGTTACTGTGCTGTGTTAGCCCTGGGGTCTTCCATTCCCAGCCCTCCTGACCTGCTCCCATATGGGTCTCTCTCTTCTTCCAACTTCTCAGGATGTCCTATGAGGATTTCATCTATCATTTCACAAAGCTGGAGATCTGCAACCTCACGGCCGACGCTCTGGAGTCTGATAAGCTTCAGACCTGGACAGTGTCTGTGAATGAGGGCCGCTGGGTACGGGGCTGCTCCGCTGGAGGCTGCCGCAACTTCCCAGGTGGGACATGCTACTGATGCAGGAAGGGTCCAAGCAGAACAAGTTCCGGGCAGAAGAAGCCTAACTAGCACTTATTGAGTCTCTGTTCCAGATGCCCACTATCTTATTAAACCCTCCCTATTTTACCGAGAAGGAAACCACTATGTTGAGAAGTTTACAACAGGGAGCTAGTAGTGACTTTGAAGTAGGAAACTGTGGGAACAGTGCAGATGCTACTTGACTTACAATGAGGTTATGTCCAGACAGGCCATCGGCAGTTGAAAGTGCATTTAATATGCCTAATCCACCAAATGTCATAGCTTAGCCTGGCCCACCTTAAACATGCTTGGAACACTGGCCTTAGCCTAAAGTTGGGCAAAATCATCTAACACAAAGCCTATTTTATAATAAAGTGTTGAATATCTCATGTAACTTATTTAATACTATACTAAAAGTGGAAAAACAGAATGGTTGTCCGGATACTTGAAATCCAGTTTCCACTGAATGTGCAATACTTTCACATTGTAAAGTTAAAAAACTGTAGCCAAACCATCCTAAGTTGGGGACTGTGTGTACTGTGTCAGTAACAGTGAGGGTAGTAGTGGAGAACCAAGTTAGCAGCTGATGGAATAGTTCAAGTCAGAGATGATGAAAGCCTGGACCAAGTCAGCAGCAGCAGAGATGAAGGGGACAGAGTAGACGTAGGTAAAGCATGTTAGGTGATATAGGGAAGAAATAAGAAAGAATGATGTCAAGATACCCAGTTTGAGGACCTGACAATATTGCAACATAAGAACATAAGAAGGCTGAGAGGGCAACTCACACCTATAATCACCTATAATCCCAGCACTTTGGGAGGCAGAAGCAGGAGGATCACCTGAGCCCAGGAGTTCAAGGCCAGCATAGGCAATATAGTGAGACCTCATCTTTACAAAAAAATTAAAAATTAGGCTGGAGGATTGCCAGAGTTCAGGAGACTGAGGCTGCAATGAGCCATCATCGCACCACTGCACTCCTGCCTGGGTGTCAGAGCAAGACTGTCTCAGAAGAAAAAAAAAAAAACACAAGAAAAAGATCAGTGTGTTATTTTGAGGGGAGTTCATTGTGGGGTTATAGGGAAAGGAATTTTGCTTGGGACATGAAAAGTTTGAGGTTCCTGTGAAGATGTGTAATAGAGAACTGAATATGCATATTAGATGGCACATATTAGAACTAAAAATATTTGAGGAATAAAGGAAAGAAGAGGCCAGGCGTGGTGGCTCATGCCTGTAATCCCAGCACTTTGGGAGGCTGAGGCAGGTGGATCACTTGTGGTCAGGAGTTCAAGACGAGCTTGGCTAACATGGTGAAACCCCATCTCTACTAAAAATAAAAAAATACTGTACATGGTGACGAGTGCTGTAATCCCAACTACTTGGGAGGCTGAAGCAGGAGAATCACTTGAACCCAGGAGGCAGAGGTTGCAGTGAGCTGAGATCACCCCACTGCACTCCAGCCTGGGCGACAGAGCCAGACTCACTTTAAAAAAAAAAAAAAAAAAAAAAAAGTGAGACAGATTGGGCCTGGGATATAATAGCTCAGGCATCATGAACATGTAGGGGGCAAAGTAAGAAAGACTGCCTAGGGAGGTAAGAAGGGCAAGGTGAGAGGAAAAGAGGCCCAGGACCAGATTACAGATACCAACAGCATTTAAGGGGCAGGTAAGGAAAAAATCATCAGCAAAGACTGAATGAAAGTTCAGAGAGGAAGGAAGAGCCACACATCAATCAGTACAGCTCCATCTGTATAGAGGTAGCCCCCCGCCCTGCCAAATAATTAGACAAATGCCTGAATCATGTTTTCTGTTGATGTGTTCTAAACACCTACTAGATGAAGGGGATAGCAATAAATAGGTTCCCTCTGTCTCATCTCCTTCCTGTCCGTTCTCCGAGAGGCAGCCCTGACTGTGTGTTTCCTTTCTGGGGGTGCAGATACTTTCTGGACCAACCCTCAGTACCGTCTGAAGCTCCTGGAGGAGGATGATGACCCTGATGACTCAGAGGTGATCTGCAGCTTCCTGGTGGCCCTGATGCAGAAGAACCGGCGGAAGGACCGAAAGCTGGGAGCCAACCTCTTCACCATCGGCTTCGCCATCTATGAGGTGTGCAGTCCTGATTGGCTCCAGCCCAGTAAATACACTTTCCTGGCTAGGACACTTCCAGGGGTTTCTAGAGGGGTCCTCTGGCTTCCTCAATACTCAGTGACCCCCAGAGCTACTGGTATCAGGCCCACTTGTGTTGGTAGCAAGCAGAAAATATCAGGTGGGCATTGGAGTGGCAGTGAAGTGGGATTGGCAGGATGAGTACCTGGGGGTCAGGCTTCTGCATGCATGCTGCAGTTGCTGGCATTCCCTTCTGCAAGCTCCTCATCGTCACTCAGATCTGAAGCATCTTCTTTTCTCTTTCTCCTCAAGGTTCCCAAAGAGGTATAGCAGCAGCAGCAGCCAGCAGTTGTGTGCAGCAGTACCCAGGGGACCCGAGTCTGTCTGTGGCTCGTTGAGAAGCTTCCTGGTGGGGTTTGTGGGCAGGACTGTAATAGGAGAGGGCCTTGTCCACGTTATTTCCACTGCAGAGCAGGTGCCTCAGGGCACTGCATGACCTGGGACTACCCCCCCCCCAGGATGTACACTTTCTCTCTCGCACCAGACACTCTGCGCATCTCACATACGCCTTCGCACACTCATCCTCCTCCATGCTCACAGCCACACAGTCACATAGATGCATTCTGAGGGTGGCTGCACGCTTGGGATGGAGGAATCACTTCCCTCAGAACGCAGCCAAGTCCTCTAGGCCTCCTTGGGAGTCCTTCCAGCCTGAGGGGCTTTGGAGCTGAGGAGCAGCTGTTCTGGTAAGTGTCCCTGAATGTGGGGATGACACACTTGCCATTCACTCTGAATCACAATGGAAAAAAAAAGGAAGAGGAAGTGAGGTAGGGAGGCTATTTGAAGCCTTGGGAGTCGGAAGTAGGGAGGTTGAGACTGACATGGGTGACCAGGGAGTTGGGAAGGGACCCTTGGAGGCAGCTGTGGCAGGAGAGGGCGTCCCTCCTGAGGGGCTTAGGTCCTATGGGCTCTTCCGTCTCTCAGATGCACGGGAACAAGCAGCACCTGCAGAAGGACTTCTTCCTGTACAACGCCTCCAAGGCCAGGAGCAAAACCTACATCAACATGCGGGAAGTGTCCCAGCGTTTCCGCCTCCCTCCCAGCGAGTACGTCATCGTGCCCTCCACCTACGAGCCCCACCAGGAGGGGGAATTCATCCTCCGGGTCTTCTCTGAAAAGAGGAACCTGTCTGAGTGAGTGCCAGCCTAGCTTTCCCACCTGTTTCTAAAACCTCACATGGCCCACTCCAGAGGTTGAAGGCGTGAGGCAGATAGACATGTCTCCTCCGGGGTCCTGGGATACGCTGACCAGCTGAACCTCTTCTGCTAATCCTGAGCCACTGGCCACATTGCCCCATTCATTCATTCAATCTATCCATCCATTCTGCAGATATTTTTGAGCACCTACCATGTTCCAGGCACTTTCCTAGGCACTAGGGATAGAGTAGTGAAGTAAACAGAAAGAAATCCCTGCTTTCATGGAGCTTAATATACTAACATGAGACAGTAATGGTTAGGAAAAAATGTATGTAGCATGATAGATTTGGAGAGGTGATATGGAGCAAAAATAAAGGATAGGAGGTGTTGGGGATGCTTGAAATTTTAGGTTAGCATGGCCAGGAAAGCCATATCCTGTCCCTGGCCACCACAGATGAGCTCATAGCCCCTGCCACTCTGATCTCTGTCCTTGGAAGATGCACCAGGTCCATGGGTAGGTGGCTGGGTCATGCATTTGGGGGGCTCTGAGCAACGCCAAGAACCTGCTTTGCCTGGGCTTGGCTGTTGGGGATAGTGCTGACATGGGGCTGGTTTCTGGGGTTAGGGGTGTTAAGTTTTGGAAGTTCTTTAGAGGCTGATCCTGGCTTGGCCACCCGGAAGCCAGAGCAAACCTTCCACGGGCTTCCTCCTTGCTTCTGGTGACACTGAGACCTCACATGTCTGTGTTCCTCACAGGGAAGTTGAAAATACAATCTCCGTGGATCGGCCATTGGTGAGTGGTTTAGATCTTATATGTGAAAAGTCCAGAGGGTTCCCTTCCCTGACCATGCAGGGGACAGATGGTGCAGGGAGACTGGGCACTGGCAGAGGGAATGGGAGTCTGGGCTATGCTGAATCCCTCCCTGGGATGCAAATCCTGCTTAGCATGGCTGGAAGTAATGGGCCTTATGATCTGGGGGCCACTGAGTCAGTTCAGGGGCTGGGAAATATAGAAGAGGGTCCTGGGAGGGAGAAGCAGTTTGAACAGTCAGAGGGAGGGAACAAGGCCACAGGAAGGGATGACAAGAGCTGCAGCAAACACTGGATTTCACACATAGAAAAAAGAAAGTAAGCTGGCTCTGGACCTGGTGTCGACACCCGGATCCTCTACCTACCAGCAGGGTGACCCGGACAATTTCAATAATCCCTCTCAGTTTCCTCCTCTGGAAAATAGGACAAAAGTGTGCCTTGCAAGGCTTTTTTGAGGTTTCATCAATGAGACGATGTATGTGAAATGTCTGGCACAGCATGAGCACTCAAACAGAGGAGCTTTTTCACATTTGACACCTTACAAAGTACTTTTCCCACGTGTTATCGCAATACTTGCAAGGTTTCTGAGAGGTAGACGAGGTTATAATCTCTGGTTTTCAAGAAAGGAAGCAGAGGCTCAATGGGGTTGAAGGAATTCTATGAGTTCACACAGCTAGTTAAGTGGCAGGGTTGGAACTCACATCACGACTCTCTAACTCGACAGGTTTTTCCTCACCTCCACACTGAGGCCAGCTCGGGCAATGAGAAGCCCAAAGTCCAAAGCACAGAGCAGTGTGTGTTGGGCTGTCTGTGTTAAGGAGTCTTGTGACTGCCATGGGACTTTGGGCTGTAGTCAGTAAACAGCCCCTCATGCTCTGTAGGGATAATGTAGGCCAATGGGAGGACAAATGCCCTTCTGAACTGTCTTCTGGGTAGTGACAGTCATGGTCATAATCCTGACCCTGTGCCAGTGCCAAGTCTCCAAGTGCCTTCTGAATGACCACAGGCAATTGGTTTTAGTGGTAGGTGCGTGTGCGTCTGTTCTGGTCATCTGGATGCTAGTCATCGGTGTACAGTGTTGATCAGGACCTGCAAACTCAAAAGCTATAGGAGCTGGCACGTCACCTAACTGAGCAGAGCAGGCAGGTGCAGGGGTTTTGATGTCCCTGCACCAACACAGTTGTCTGCAGTTCTCAACTGATACTTGGCTCACGTTGAGGGTCAACAGGAATGGTGGGGCCTGGGGCAATCTGGAAGAAGCAGGGAGCAGGCCCTGGGCTCAGCTGATAGTTGCCATGGGGATTACAGGCCCAGGGCAGACTGCTACAGCTACTGATTTTACCAAAGAAAATCCCCCTATGTTAAATGTTTGCTCAAAGATTTTTTAAAAAATATTCTGTAAGTCAAAATTCATTGTCAGGTCAGTTTGAGTGAGCCATGTTTTTGGTGTTTTAGTAACCAATTTCATTTTCTAAAAAAGGAAGAAAGGAAACCCTAGCCAGAAGATCCTTTTCCTTGCCATATGTAGTAACAGCAGATTATAAAAACAAAACCTTAGCATTCACTGGTGTCTGGGCATGGAGAAGAGAGAAGAATTCTCTTCTTCCTTCACCCTCCATGCCATTCAGATTTCTGGACCCCCGAGTCTCACCCCAAGCTAAAGACAAGGATACAGGGAAGCCAAAAGCCACTGGCTGTTCTGGGAACTTGCTTTTCATTTACTCTGCATTTACTGTTTCCTTTTTTTATGCAGAAAAAGAAAAAAACCAAGGTGGGTGTGTGGGTAGAGAGCATAAAGTGTGTGTGTGTGTGTGTGTGTGTGTGTGTGTGTGTGTGTGTGTGATATGTGCATGTGTTTGTGCTCATATGCATGCATGCACCAGACTTGCCTCTTCCTTCCCCTCCTTCTCTGAGCTGCTGGGGCTGAGCATGCAGTAATGGCAGCTCAGATTTGCTGGGGGAAGGCTTCATGGCAAGCACTCTTCTAGGGGCTTTTCATGATTAATTCCATCCTCACAACAGCCCTATGAGATGAATACTGTAACTATCCCCATTTTCAGAAGGAGAAAAGGTATGGAAAGATTGACTAACTTGCCCAAGGCCAGCCAGGGAGGGGCAGAGCCAGTACTCAGAGCCAGGCAGTCTGGGTCCAGAGTCTGTGCCCTGAACCACAAGAGGCCATCATACACCAGATTTGGTGCTAGCATTTACAGTGGTGCCTGGTGGTGATGGGTCCATCACAGGTGTCCTCCAGTTACTGGTGCTGGCCCAGACCAGAGCTGACTTCCATTTCAGGCACTGTGCTTGGGGTAAAACTCTCTTTTGTCCCCACTTATAAAAGTAACTACAAAGGTGCTACATTTTTCCCTTTCACGGGTGAGAATCAAAAAAGTGCCCAAGGACACAGAACTAATGAGTGGGGAAAATGGGAGTGGAAATGATGTCTGTTTGCTCCAAAACCTCTGTTTCCTACCCTCTCTCTCTGGTGCCAGCCCCCTACACTTCAAGGCCTGTGTTGTCCAGACCCACACTCGGGCCTGCCAGTGTGTGCCTGGAAGGGATGCTCCATGGCCATACCATGTCCCTCCCACACATCCCCCTCTGACTGACCTCCATTTGCTCTGGGATCCCCACAAGCGTCAGCCGCTTGAGCGAAACACTTTGCTTAGAAGGTAGAGCAAGGCAGGGCCTCTGGGGCCTGCTGGGGAGCTGTTTCCATGGGTCTGTCTGCTTGAGCTGTAATAGATGAGCAGCCTGGAAAGGCAGTGGCACCTGAACCCCAGGTGGGCTGCTTCTCTGCTCTGAGAGGCTCTGCCTGCCTTGTTGCTCTCTGCACTGCAGCATCAACCCCCACTGCCTTGCCTTCCCCTGGCTTTCACTACAGCAGCACTGCTCCCACCAGTGACAGCGCCACATGGCAGCCACTCCCTGCCCTTCTCATATCCTCGTCACTTGCATGAGCATGTCTTAAAAATATCCCTTGTTTGTGTAGCATCTTAAATGTTTTTGCAGTATGATTTTGCATTTGGTATCTCATTTGATCCCCACAAAAGCCCTATGAGGAAGGAGAGCTAGTTTTACTGTTAAAGGATGAGTAAACTGAGGCCAAAGAGGGTATTTCTTATGAGGGGCAGGGCTGGGATTCCGGCCCAGTGTTCTGACAGTTACCCACTGACCATGCCACTAATCCATGTCTTTTTCCAATACTTTGCAGAGTCCTAGAGGTTCCTTGGAGGTGCCTCAGTAGCTGCCATGGTGATGTGGAGTGCTGAGGGCAAAGAGCTGTTTTTAATGGCTTTATATACCTGGTGTTTCTGCAGGAAATTTAATTTGAAAAATGTTTCCATCTGGAAAAAACAAAGTCTACAAAACATTTGACAATCACTGCACTAGATCATGCTGCTTTTAGCATTCTTAACATTTCACATGCTGAGCTATCATAACTCTACCATAAGGAGGAATGGAGTGGGTATGGAAAGATAAAGAACTGAAGTCACACGGCTTGTCAGTGGCAGAGATAGCGCTTGAACAGAGGTTGAAGAGCTCCCACCTGTTCTTTTTCTCTTCTCACTGGACAAAGCTGCTCCAAGAGAAAGGCTGCCCCAGCGTGCCTGTTCACACTGTAATCCTTGCTTCCTTCCTGCCCCCTCCCTACTTCCCTCCTATCTCCAGCCCATCATCTTCGTTTCGGACAGAGCAAACAGCAACAAGGAGCTGGGTGTGGACCAGGAGTCAGAGGGCAAAGGCAAAACAAGCCCTGATAAGCAAGAGCAGTCCACACAGGTATCTGAGCATGCAGCATGAATGGGAATGGCCAGCGCGCTACGGGGGCTTCCTAGGGGCTCGGGATACATGGCGGCTGCAGGCTTCCCCAGGGGTTGTCAAACATCTAGAGATTTGGGTTTGTCTCAGCAAGTTTCCCTGAAATTTGGGATGCTGCTTGGGTGAATGTCCCAGGATGGAGGTTCCATCCTAGGAGTAGATGGCAGGCTGAGCCTCCCATGAAGCCGATTCAGCCAGGACAGAGAGAAGGGGAGGCAAAGGCTGAGACAGAACCAGCTTGAGAGTGGAGGCGCAACTCCTGTCTCCTGATGTTGAGCTTTTCACAATAGGGGGATAAAGAATATGAGCAGAAAAGTGAGGCTAACATCAGAACTGGGGTCCTCTCGAGCTCACGGGAGGGTGTTAGATTGGTGTGGAGAGCTTAGTAGAGGCAGACCTCTGCCTTAGGGGCAAGAGTCTCCAGACGAATCCAGGGCCTTCCTTTTATCTGGGGGCACTTGTGCAGTGGTGCCTAGGGGAGGTTCTCTGAGGACTTGGCCTTGATGACAGAGGTGGCCGGAAATACCAGAATACTCAGACCTTCTTTGACCTGAGGGCACCTTTGGTTGGAATGGTCAGGCCTGGGATGGTGGAGAGGGCTCTAGCGGGCGGGGACTGGGGTGGGGGTAAGGAGGATGTCTGTGTCTGCATGGCTGCCACATCTCCTCTGGCTGGGGGAGTCAGGGCTGGAGAGGTGTGGAGTGCAGGGTCACTGAGGCCTCGATGCTTCTCACTCTGGCTCACGAGGTCTGCACTGGCCCCTGTCTCCAACTCCTACTACCACCTCTAGTCGTTTTAGGTACTTGGCTCCCTTGGCCCAGAGGAGCTTGCCTCATGGGCTTGTCCACCTCTGACCCCTGTGAACCAGCTTTTCTTTGTGCCTCCACAGCCACAGCCTGGCAGCTCTGACCAGGAAAGTGAGGAACAGCAACAATTCCGGAACATTTTCAAGCAGATAGCAGGAGATGTGAGTACCTCCAAGCCCAGGATGCCCACAGATGCTTCCTTCTCTCCTAGATTAACTGCTCAGATTGCCAGTTATTTGGTTACTGTTTGGTAGAAATCATTTTGGACTTTGGTGGAGCCAGGGGATGTGTGTGTAGCACACAAATCCATAAGCCCTTATGTTTTGGACTGCCACGTCCACTGGGGGGCTCAGACGCCTTGTTTGCTCTGAGCTGCCCACAGCAGTCCCCATAGCTGAGGTGCAGTATCTGGCTCCTCCCCCATCTTCCTCAGAAAAGCCCCAGCTTCCTATGACATAATAGCACTGACGGGCATTTTACTAATGCAGCCTGCTGGAATTTGTTTAGCAAAGCATCTGTGCCAGCAGCTGCTGTACTGGTGAACCATGACCCTCCTCTCCCTTCCTCCCCAGGACATGGAGATCTGTGCAGATGAGCTCAAGAAGGTCCTTAACACAGTTGTGAACAAACGTGAGTGGCTCAAACCAAATGCAGGGGGAGGGGGAGGAGTCCAGTTGTCTCAAAGCAGCTCCTCACTCTTCTCCATCCCCCTAGACAAGGACCTGAAGACACACGGGTTCACACTGGAGTCCTGCCGTAGCATGATTGCGCTCATGGATGTATCCTTCCTGCCACCCCTTCCCCACCGTCTGTCATCAGCCCAGGGGTGCCAAGGAAACATAGAGAGAAGCTTCTCTCAAGCCTGGATCCTGCCCAATCAAAAGTGGTCCTTAGGAGTCAGGCTCCCTGGGTTACAGAGTAGGCAGAGTCTCTGACTGGTGGAGGAGTGGAGGAGAGGGTTAAATATCATGACAGGGCAGAGGGTAGGACAGCCCAGGCGGAGTCTCGTAGACACCCACTCCCAATCCAGGAGGATTCTGCTATGTGCCTTATAGCCCTGACCTCCCTCCTCCAGACAGATGGCTCTGGGAAGCTCAACCTGCAAGAATTCCACCACCTCTGGAACAAGATTAAGGCCTGGCAGGTGGGAAGAGAAAATGAAGTATGGGAGTGAAGAATGGGGTTGATCTGGAGATTCAGTGTATGACTGCCATCCTCAAATTTTCTATTGCTAGAAAATTTTCAAACACTATGACACAGACCAGTCCGGCACCATTAACAGCTACGAGATGCGAAATGCAGTCAACGACGCAGGTGCTGTGAAGGAAGTAGCGACAGGGATGTGGACCCTAGGCAGTGGGTGCAGCAATGGGAGGGGCCTAGGCTACTAGGGCCTCACAAGAGAAAGGAGAGGGAAAGGGCTTCTCATTTTCCCTTCCCAGGCCACAGGGTGGCCGAGGGGCAAGGAAGGGGCAAAGAAAATAGAAGGCAGACCCAAGGCCTCCAGCTCCACCTCCACCTCTCACATGATCTCCTTCACAGGATTCCACCTCAACAACCAGCTGTATGACATCATTACCATGCGGTACGCAGACAAACACATGAACATCGACTTCGACAGTTTCATCTGCTGCTTCGTCAGGCTGGAGGGCATGTTCAGTAAGTGTGGGAGGGGGGCTGCTCTCTGGTCTCTTGATCCCTTCAGCCCCCACCCACAGAGACAGTTGTCATAACAGACATCTCACCTGATAATCTCCAGTCTGCTCCATCCAGGCTGAACAAGGGCTAAGGCCCTCTTTAGGGCCAGAATGGAATGGCAAAGGGAGGGTGACTGGCGAGTCTCTGCCTGCAAATCTTTGTGCTGATGAGGGCCAGCACTGGGCACGTGGTCTTCTTCAGGAAAGTCACAGTAGTAGAGGCGGAGTGCACCTAGAACTGGCCTCTGCCCTGTGCACTCTTTCACAGGAGCTTTTCATGCATTTGACAAGGATGGAGACGGTATCATCAAACTCAACGTTCTGGAGGTAAAGCACAGACACAGCACATTCCCCCTACACATTAAAACTCAAGTTGGAGGAATCAGCAAGGCACACTGGACCCACATTGCACTCCTCATTTCCACACGGTGGTGGAGGGAAGGGATAGGAACAGAACATGGAGGGAGGATCAGTGAGGAATGTGGCTTACAGGATGCATGCACTCGAGGCCCAAAGGGACCTCAGCTCCCCTAATCACTTTATGCTGGAAAACATGTACCTTCTTAGGGAAGATGTAGGAGAAAGGAAACAATAAGCCACTGTTTCTTGGAAAATACTCCAGGGGTCTGACCTGCGGGACTGTTCCCTTTCCCCTTGCCCTGTAAGATTCCTAGGGCTGGGGGTCACTCTTTTCTATCTAAATTCTGATCATAGGACTTTCTCTTTCAGTGGCTGCAGCTTACCATGTATGCCTGAACCAGGCTGGCCTCACCCAAAGCCATGCAGGATCATTCAGGATTTCCATCTCACCCTCTATTTCCAAAGCCACTTTCAAAGGACCCAGCAGCTGCATCCCTGGAGGCCTCCAACCACCTCATCAGTCCTGTTCCTCTTCCATTTTACCCCCCTACCTATCCTTGATCGGTCATGTCTAGCCTGCCCAAAGCTTTAGGAAAGCAGTGAGGTAGGAAGAACAAACCATTGTCCCTTTGCCAGGTGGAGGAAAGTGCCAGCTCTAGTCTGAGCTGCCTTGGCTCTGAAGCGAGTGCTGCTTACCTTGCTTAGGCTGTCTGCAGAAGCACCTGCCAGTGGCACTCAGCACCTCCTTGTGCTGAAGCCTCCATCACCTTCATGCTCTCCCACCATGGGCCAGGAACCAAACCAGCACTGGGTTCTTCTGCGTAGTTATTTTAGGAGAGGCCTGCTGTGGGGTAAACTCGCTCAGTGGAATAGGGCTGGTTACTTTGGGCTGTCTGACTTGTAAGTTTGGCTGCATTCTGAAAAAAGCTGATCTAAATAAAGGCATGTGTATGGCCCCCTTGTGTTTTGTTCTCTCACATTTAGATATCAGCCATAGCATGACTGAACAGCTTCCAATCATACACTCACCCATCACCTAGAAGAGAACAATGGAAAACATACACAAAAACAAAATCCTAAAGCCCCCTTTAATCATGCCTATTGCTATCTCTTGAGCATAGGAATTACTCAGATACTTTCCAAGACATAAAAGGAAGGCAGAGGAATAGCTGTTGCTGTAAAAGACATCAAGAATAAATGGGTCATGTACAAGGGGAGGGGCCAGTTATTACCTGAACGTAATGGAGTAGAGATTGAGCTGTCCTAGCTCCTCTGCTCACTAACTGACCTGTCACATGACTGTGGACAAAACCCTGAATGAAGCTGTTTGCCAAACTTATCTGGACCGTGGCCTGTGGCACATCTATAGGCATCTTGTGTTTTCCACCCAGTTTCCTTCTTCTTCGCTAAGCCAACATGGAAAGGGTTGACTGTGAATACGCAGACAAGGTAACGAAAGTAAACAGTCAATTAGTAAAAGTACTTTATTTTCCTCTTGTATTTGCTTTATATCTTGCTTGACAAAGTTACGAAGTTCACAGCTTTATACCAAAATGTAAGAAGGCTATTTGCTTATAAACATTTTTGCAGTCAGGTATCATCTGATTTCATTCTTCTAATCCATAGTCAATATTTAAAAAGTCAGAAACCAAGGGTGCTGGAGCAGCTCTAGGGCATATATTTCTCTTAAATAGGAGAAAGATTTTCAACAGCTTTTCCTCCTTGACCCCCTCCTCTCCCAATATTTTTGGGCCACCACCTTGACTTTAAAGTGAATCTGAGAAATTTAGTCACCAAGTAACTAACAGGGCCATATACCTGGGCTTGGAGGTGAGGTTATAGGTTACTGTCTAATAATCAGTAGGTTTGGTTTACACGAGGATTTTACATCAGGAACTCAGTCTATCCCAAATCACCTCTACAACAAACCCGAGGAACCTGATGATTTCGGGTAGGGATAAAACCATTATTTTATAAATGTGGCAGGTATGGCCTTCATAATTCTAGAAGCTCCCATTTAGGTAACAGAAACAAAATTTATATCTAAGCATAAACTGCAATTATTTGAGCAAACCAAAGCATATGTGCTCTTCAAATCCCACTTCACAATATACTTCAATATCCCCTCCAGTGAATTCTCTTCCATAAAATATACCATTCCACTAAGTATATAACCTACTCCCACCAAATCATCCACATGCCTCATCACTAAAGTTGTCCATTGTATAATCTACCAGAAAAACAGACAAAATAAAACCTGTGTTAGGCAAATAATCACTTAACCAGTAATAACATTGCCTATAAATTATGGGTAAGTCAGGAGCTGAAGAATCCACCGTTAACTCTTCTGGGGAAGAAAAAATTTTTCCCACAAAAGCAGGAGGGCAGTAGTAAGTAATGACTTTCTCTCAAATTCAAGTAACATCAGGTCAACATAACCTTTGCTCTTAACAGTTTTGTTTGCATTGTGTTGAATTGCTTTATAACTGAGTAGAGAGGTATGCCAAAATTATTTTTAACCTAATTAAAAACTTTCACATAAAACTTGAAGTGACTGATACTTTATCAGAACAAACTGTCACTTAAACACTAGCATAGGTACACAAAGTGTTTATGCTATGGTTTTCTTGGCTTTGAGCCATTAGAAGTAGGCAAAAGCAATCAAAAATAACATTCTAAAAGTGGCTCCAACTACTTTAAAGATACGAGTCAGTTTCCGTCAGGTCATTTAATGGTTTCCTTACTTCATAAAGCTACTAAATACCAGAGTCAACACAGATCCCTGAGCCCTAGCTCTTCTCTGAAGGGAAAGATGGTTACAATCAGTCACAACATTGTGGAAGACATTAAAAAAAAGAAGCCGAAGTCCTGCATAATTTTCAAGACACTTGTAAGTAATAAACCATAACCATAAGCAGCCAAAATGCTTATGGTTCCTTTATTTCTTAACAGAGGGCTAGAATGGTTCATTTTGTCTAATACACTAATCTGGTATTAAAAGAATTTCATGTGTTCTTGAAACAAAGGCATTACTGCCACTACTTCAAAAAAAAGTCTTTATGAAATGAAGAAAAATGACAAGTCCAGGTTCCCACGCATACACATACATACAAAGGAACCTGCACACTTGCACACACAAAGGCAGATATAGGCACACAGTCCCACCAAAGCGAAATCCAAATCAGAGTTCTTACTGACTCTACCAGTCTGGAATACTCTCAAAAGTTCCCCACGACTGCCCAACACCTCACCTATTCTTTTCCTGCTGCACAAAGCCATGCTCATCTTTTCAGACATATCCTCAGGCAGGGTAGAAGGGCACTATGCCACAGAGCATTCAAGGCTTTCTTAGCACGCTGCCAGGCAATGAAAAAATGCGGCTTCACTACAGCCCAGAGAAAAAGGCCTGGTATAGTCATTAATCCAAATGCATTTTCCCGGGAAATGACCATTCCCAAACCCAGAAAACAGCCTGGCTTCTCTGGTTATCCTTATAGGAAATGGGGGTGAGAGGTGGGAAAAGCTTCTTAATTTCATACAGAAACTGCACAAATATTTAATATACCTTTTGCAGCAAGATCTTCTTTGTTCTCCATTAAGCATCACATAAAGCTCGCTAGGGTGGTTATCAAAATGGCTTTCCCCAAGGACAGAAGTCAAGAGCTTGTAGGGCCATTTATTATATAGAAGTCAGCCATTCATTATCTCCTAAATTAACTCTTTTTTTTTTCTTCTTGAAGTAGAGTTTCGCTCTGTCACCAGGCTGGAGTGCAGTGGTACAATCTCGGCTCACTGCAACCTCTGCCTCTCAGGTTCAAGCGATTCTCCTGCCTCAGCCTCCCGAGTAGCTGAGACTACAGATGCTCACCACCACACCTAACTAATAATTGTTATTTTTAGTAGAGACAGGGTTTCAGCATGTTGGCCAGGCTGGTCTAGAATGCCTGACCTCGAGTGTTCCACCCGCCTTGGCCTCCCAAAGTGCTGGGATTATAGGCGTGAGCCACTGTGCCTGGCCTCGTAGATTAATTCTTAACATTTTCTGAATCAAGTAAGACCCACTGGAGCCTTTCCTGGAAAAAAGAACACATACTTAGTCTCATACACAATTTCTGGGGGCTTGTAGACCCTCTTCAAGCCTCTCCATGAACCCCTGGTGAAGTCCCCCTGCCAGAGACCCTGCGGGAAGACATGTGAGTGAATGTGTGTGCACTAACAGGGGTGAAGACAGAGCTGGATACTCTACAATCCCAGACAGCAGAAAGGACCATGTCCCAAAGCTTGGTATGTGGCCCTGGGTGCATCCCCCTTATTTTATCTCTCTGAAGAAGCTTTCTAAGTTGTTTGGTTGTTTGAGACAGAGTATTGCTCTGTCATCCAGGCTGGAGTGCAGTGGCTCGATCTGGCTCACTGCAACTTCCGCCTCACAGGTTTAAGTGATTTTCCTGTCTTAGCCTCCTGAGTAGCTGGGATTACAAGTGCCTGCCATCAAGCCCAGCTAATTTTTTTATTTTTAGTAGGGACAGGGTTTTGCCATGTTGGCCAGGCTAGTCTTGAACTCCTAGCCTCAGGTGATCTGCCTGCTTCGGCCTCCCAAAGTACTGGGATTACAGGCATTAGCCACCAAACCCAGCCACTTTCTGAGTTTTGAGGATCCAGAAACAAAAGGTTGGAAAGCAACACTTCTACAAGTTTACTAATGAGTCCAGAGAAAATCCAAAAACAAAGCCCCTCTGAGGGTTTGTGAATTTGGCTGTTCTCAGCGGCTGGGCAGAGACTCTGCTGCACTTTCTTTCCCAGTTAGCAGAGGAGTGAAGGCAAAGAAATGGTCTCAGAAACAAGTTTCTAGGAAGTCTGCTTGAGGTCCTAAAAATCGTATTCAGATGCCTTATTCTAAGCCCTCTCCCCCACCATCTTGGGTGCTGCAGCGGGGGTGGAAAACACCCCGTGAGTCCAGAGGAAAACTTGATGGCTGCCATCAGTCTAGGCACAGCCATACAGTGGGAGAGATGGAGGTTGGCAACTGAACAAACCAAAAGGGTTCAAGCCGACATCAGGCTTGCAGGGTCAGACACTAGAAAGGAAGATAAAGGTACACCTCCAGTTCCAACAGCCTGACACGATCTGTAGCAAGGAGTGCTAGATTCACAGCAAACGTAAAGGTAGACATTAGGTCTATGCACTGCCTCACACTGAGATTTCTATCCACATTTATAGACATTTACTAGGAAGTGGTGTCTGTAAGGACTTGTCACTATGTGATTTGCTTTCTGAATTCCTAAAATACAGTCAGCAGAGTAGCCACTGTTTGTCAAAAATCTACCGTGTCCTTTAGTGCTTAAAGCCAGCTCTGTCCATCTATAAAGCAAAAAAACAGTGACAAGCTCTGCACATAATTGTTAAGAAAGAAAACTATTTGCTTCCAATTTAAATACCTGGCTATTACAAATGGAGAAATTAAAACTGATCCTGAAAGTCTAGCTGCACTTAAAAGCCTGACTACAGGTTTAAACCATCATAAGAACATAAACAAAAAATTGCAAACTGAAATCAAAAAAATATGCATATGATTAGGGTCAAACTGGGTAACCAATTAGGATCTGTATCTTTAATAAACATCTGGAGAATGCTAGTAGCATAAATCATTATATGCCATGCTGTCCCAGAGGCGTATGGTTCCTTAACATCTGTCTAAATCTGTTTAAAACCTCCAGCAAGAATTTAAAGTGTCATCTATTATCCCATAGAGCTGCCCAGACTTATGCTAGGGGTAAGCCTGGCTAGTAACCACTTTCTCCTTCCTTGTTTCACTGGGGAAGGGAAGAGAGTGGTCTGTGTGTGGGGCCGATGTGAAAATAGTTCAACTAATGACTTCCCAACATGGGAGGCAAAAACTTCATGAATCAATTTTGCTGTCATCTTCAGCATGTCGTTCAATATGTCCTGCAGCATCCT